TACAACACTATTATTTTAAATAAAATAAGACTGAGGATGTCATTGTTTTTAAGACGTTATTTTGAAATTCATGCGAAAATAATACTTGAAATTTGTTCTATCATGTTATGTAACGCTTCACTAAATTATAATGTATTTTTTTAAACTCAATAAGGTAATAATTGTTTGTTGATTGTATCGTTAATTGCATTCAAAGTTATATACTATTGTCCTCTTTTTCAGATTGGGCCTCTTAAATTGTGACGACTGTAACTCCTGGCGTAATGACAATTAAAGTACTATTTTGTAATATTTAGGTACGTTTTCTTGTTTCATATTTACATTGTTCATAGGTTGTAAATTGAAAAGCTTTAAAATAATTTTGAGAAGGTTTACAATACACTGAATCGATATTTGAAAGCAAAAATTAGCCGATTTCAATCAAGTTTAAAAAACCCTTGTCATGAGTCTCTACATTTTCTACCTAAGACAGCTAGTCATAACTGGAAGGCAATTCTACAGATTTACGTTAATATTAAACGAAATAAATAAAATAAAAAGACTTTATTCTTCAACCGAAGATTTACAACAATATTTAATATAAAGCAATGCTTAATGTCGAAGTAAAGGTAAAAGCCTCAGAAATTTGCTGGTTTTCAGGCTTCACCTGGCTAGTATTCGCCACTGCAGACACCGTAGTATAATATAGAGACGGGTACCTTTTCGATTATATTTTATATAAATAGGAGGGTACCTCACTCACTATATACGTTTACTACAGAAATAACAAACCTTAAACCTTAAAATAGCATACGTACCAATTCCGTTTGCTGTACTTATTTTTTTTTTTTGCCTCAATCCTTAACAACGACGACAAAATCGTGAATGTAATAAGATTATCAGGTAGAAGGTTATTACTAGTTGTAGCAGCAGTTGCTGTAAATCTCTTTTGTAATATTTTATGGTCTCTTAAAGTTTGTTTTATATTTTAAATCTAAATTTAAATTCATTGTTTTTGGCTCCTTTTCTTCACTTTTGCTTTGATAGACGTGTTTATAATAAAAATTAATAAACTGTAAGTACATTTACTTGGCCTTGCTAACTCTTTGTCAGCACTCATTCGAACCCATTGATACAGTCCTGTACACTATTTGTAGGTACTATTAATCCAAAAGCCAAACTGAGCACTTGTTATTTTCACCGCTGTGATGACCATCGCCTATACCCAGGGGATCCTTACCTCGATTACAATAAATGCGACACGTAATTTAACGTAGGCAAACAAACAAACCTTGATCTTTACAAAGTCCAATTGACCGCACAACTTTCCAAGTGTTATTCTATATTTCTATATTTTATGAATTTACTTAAATTATATTACATTAACTTACTTCAAGTTCATAAAGCCACGGTAACTGTTGTAAAATTTTAAACAATAGCAATGTTCATGAGTGCTGCAATGTTTCTTTTGGACAAACGTTTCAATGCGAAAGGGTGGCATAAAAAAAGTAAAATCATATTGTCATCAATCATAATATCAATCAATCATGAATGATTTGATTTTATTTTTATTTTATTTTTATTTATTTTTAGATACGATAAAATCATTTTTCAAACTCAATAAATACTCAATATTTGTTTTTTTTTTCAAACATTCCACTGTTTCGTTCTGCGTATCCCACGGACCCACGGACACGGCTTTTGTTTGAACAAAGAAATACACATGACAGTTTAATTGAACAAATTTTGGTGGTCAAAGAGATTTTTTTTCACTTTTTGTCTTTAGCTAGACAGATAGCTTTTTAAATAGTTTGCCGATATTGTTTTATTAATAATAATAATAAGTTTTTTATTTTCTCGCCACATTATCGGTACATTGAGCATAACAACAAGCACTATACATAAAAAAAAAGAAAGAATCATATTGTGGGAGACTGGTGCCTAAACTAGACGCATTTCAGGTCACCAGGACTCCACCCCTTGGTAAATACAAATTTGCAACTTAGAATTATGTACTTGTACCTACATTGATAGTTGCGATTACTAAATTATCCACCTACATTAAAGTTTACAAAATTGAATTGGAATTCAAGACAAACGACAAAATAGATACGACTGCGTTGAGTGGTTATAAGCGCTAGAAAACGCTGGAATCGATTGAGACTTGCGACATATGTTATGGAATTTTCACGATTTTAGTAGTTCCGATTACGATACCGCCGAAAGTATGGAGACTATAAATAAAGACGAAGTTACCACTGTACATTCTCGAGTCGAGTTCCTGTAATTGTTGAAAATAGACGCAATGGCAGGCAAGAGGAGTAAAACTGTGCATATACGTGTCTCTATTATAACTATTTTTATTGACGAAGGACGAAAATGTAAACTACAAAACAAAGACCTCCATGACTGTAGGTAACTATTTCGTAGCTACGTATTGTCTTTCAGGTAATTTTTCACATCCAGAATACAATTTGTATAACAGAAATATGCAAGCAACGTCATGAGTCCGCCTTCTCATCACCAAAATGTAATAGCTAAACAGCACTAATGCTATGAAGACCAAATCAAACTGAATCTTTTGCTGACGGCGTTAATATACATATTCAGTGTATAACGATATGGTTTATGCGCATTTCACTTAGGAGCATCATTTTCATTGTCTCCGATTTTTTAAAATTAGGTATTAATTAGAAACTTATACAAATTTTGTTAGAAATCGTCAATATCACTTCTTTCATTAAACCAGTTTTTGGTTTAAATACTTATTTTCCCTCCTAAGCCGATTAATTCAACTTTTTCTTGACTTAGTAGAAAGTCGACACACAGCACAAGTTCGTACGTCGTAAAGGACGTAAATACCCGTAAGAGCAGCGTAAATACGCATAGGTATAAGAAATATAAGCCTATTATAATATACGTGCACTAGTGCACGTGGCTGCCAACCGGTCAACCTCCCTACCCACACCCGTAAACGCAACCGTCCCCTCAATATTTCATTAAAAATGCACCTCTACGAAGAGCTGGGAACTATTGCAGTCGATAACCGACATGTTTGTGAAAGACTCATTTTTTTTTAGTTCGGTCTAAACTAAATTTTTATCTTCATTTATTGCAAAAACCTGCATAAAATATCGTGAGACAACTCACGTAGTCTTGCCTTACGTATTTCATTAAAAATGCACCTGTACGAAGAGCTGTGACCTATTGCAGTCGATAACCGACGTGTTTGTAAACGACACAATTTTTCTTAGTTCGGTCTAAACTGAATTTTTGTTTTCATTTATTGCAAGAGACAACAAAGCAAAAAAAATCTCTAACGAAAACAAGAAACTACTTGAAAACAATTTAAATATTTTTGCAGACAAGATGCTTAAGTCTTACGTTACAAAGAACTTAATGCATTAAGAGAAAAAAAGAAGAACGCGGTTACTTATACAAGTGTATTCAAGAACTTAGAGAAAAATGAATAGAAAAAAACTCAAAAAATATTTAAAGCGCTGAACACCATTTAATACGCCAATAAATAATTTATAACCCCCTCTTTTTTATGGTATTTATAAATTTAGATAGCATTGAAAGACACTTAGAATATCTTTTTGGATCAGGGTACTATTATAAATTCAATTCAGACTGTCGCGTACTGTTTGTATCAATCCCATGTTTCTTGTGTCTAAAAAAGTTATCGCAGTTTACAGAAAAATATATTTTATAAAGAAAGTGGAGTGTCATATAGCAGAAGTACATGTAGCGCACTATAAGTTTCCGGAACTGGCCACTTACATAAACAATAATTAAAAAGTAATTACAACATTTGAAAATGGTCTCTTTGGCTGTAGAATACAGTTTGTTTCTTGTGACTATCACTTGTTTTTACATTGTGGAGTCACTTTAGAAATTGGTTGTCTACATCACCATGGATTTAACTCGTGAAAATTTTCGTAGTATGACTTTCTACGACTTTAAGTGTAATTTAACAGCTCAGTGGAGCTTCGCTCGGCTTGAAACTGCTTCTGGCAATGAAGCACTATGCAAAACGACTATTTATAGCTGGTTTGCAGAATTCAAACGCGGTCGTGTGAATCTCAGTGACGAATTTCGTGATGGTCGCCTGTCCATTGCTGAGAACAACAAAAACATCGATGCTGTGCGCCGCATGATCAAAACAGACAGACATGGGATATACCATGAGATTCAGGCATAGGAATGAGTTAAATACAATCAATACTACACAAACATTTGGGTGTGAGAAGCTGTGCTTTCGGTGGATCCCACACATTTTGACTAAGGCTCAAAAAACGGATCGCGTCACTTGGTGCAATGCCATGCTTACAAGATTCAACAAAGGGGCGTCAAATTTGATGTGGGACACCAAACATGGATTTATAGTTACGATCCCAAAACAAAGCGGCAATCAAGCGCATGGGTCTTTCGAGATGAGCCGAAACCAACCAAAGTGGTACGCGTGCAAAGTGCCTCTAAGCGGAGGATTGCTTCTTTTTTTAATAAAACTGGGCACGTGGCTACTGTTGCTTTGGAGAACGTTGTACCATGAATAGTGATTGGTACACGACAATTTGTTTGCCGGAAGTTATTGACAAACTTTGTAAAAATAACTGTAAACGCCGTATAATTTTGCACCACTATAATGCCAGTTCTCACACGGCCAGTCAGACAAAAGAATTTTTGAAGGTGAAGGACCTTATGAGTTGACCTTATGAGTATGTCGGGACTGTACACGGGATGGTGTAGGTACAGTCCCGACCTGGCACCTTGTGACTTTCATTTATTTCCAAAAATTAAGAACCAGTTACGCGGTCAACGATTTTCATCACCTAAAGAGGCTGTCGAAGAATATGAAAAATATGTTTCAGAGATTGTCACGGAAGAGTGGCATAAATATTTTCAAAATTGGATTTATGTCTTTATAAAATCATTTTCATAGTTGATTTTCATAATTTTCATAATTTTCATCGACATGTAATGAATAATCTCTAAATTTAACAAAAACAAGCTGGTGTATATTTATCTAAATATTTTTTGTCTTTTACATAGTATTTTAATAGTGTTAAGTACTATAGTTTTAATTATAATGTTATTTATCCCTTAAGTTATTTTTGTTGTCTGTTATTGTAGTATGACTTGTCTTGTTGTACTTTCACTGCTTCCTCTTGTTTGCGTATTATGTCGATGGTTGTGAGGTATACAAATAGATTATAGGTTCTCCTAGTAACAAGGGAGCCGTCTTGAGTCTTGAGCTTTATAATGGAGTCAGGAATCCTGCAGTAAAACAAATAAATAATTATTGGTGCTTAACATTTACGTAATACCATCAAAAATGTATAATTCTAAATATGTAGTGGCAGTATAATATGTTGTTCTTACCTAAAGTTTCCGGCCTGCATACCATCCATTCTCATTCCTCTTGATAAAGGTTGACGCTCGCATTTAACATCTGTGGATTCGATTGAAAGAATATTAATTATGATTCATGTTATTGTCTGAAATGAAATTTACCTTATAAATATTTAGATTTTATTATATTTATAGTAATTAATGAATTGTAATATAATTAGTTAACTATTGTGCTTACCTTAAGTGGAAACCATGTTTTCGTATGGTATTTCCAATGTAAATCTTTCCGGGGTTCTCGCATGCCGTGATAGCAATATTATTATTATAAATTTTATATAACACAAATTGGAAATAGCTGAACTGGTTAACTGATGGATTGCAAAACCTATATTTCTTTTTATTTCACATTTTCTTCTCACTCAATGCATTGTTAATAATTTAATAATGATTTTTCAATTCAATTACGACTTGTGTTCCGTTACATGATGACACGACCGGTCTTGAGCGCAGCGAGTTACCTCTGTGTGCACTTTTGCAGTATTCGGAATACGAAATACGCTTATTGCTGAATATGTTTGTTCTGTTTCGTTGTTCCTGTGCACAAGTTTTTTGTGTTGTATGTGTTTTGTCTATATGAAAGTCGATATTCAAATGTTTCAAATTTAAAAAAAAAAAATCACAGAAACCATTTGAAAAAAGTTTCATTCGAAAACCTCAAACCATGAAGATTCTATGAAAATTCAAAGAACCTATTGCAATAAAACGGCAATTTCATACTTTAACCCCTAATATTTATAAAATAAATTAATTTCCAGAAATTATTGCTTTCAGGTTTAATCTGTTTCGTTGTATGTATTCTATTCATAAGTTGAAGTTGTTTATCACAGACTACATACATACTTTTCTTTCTTTTCGTTTCGTCGTATGCAAAAGCAAAAACTGATCATTAAGTGTATGATTTGGGTTGTGGTAAATCCATGTTTTGGGGGTACCATAAATAATTAACATCCACTCTCTGCTCCACCAAGTAACTGTAAGTTCATGTAAAATGTATCAACAACCTGTGTCGCCACTCACACACCACAGTAAACTAAAATCTTACATAATATTGTTACAAATAATATTATTAATACATTAATACAGACACAGTCATTTACACATATCAGTAAATTTTTATGCCAACTAAGTACTTGTACTCAACAAATGTTTGTAAAAGATATTATGTCATTAAGACATTCTTATAGATTCTTTGTGTGAATAACTTATTAATTTATTTCAAAAATATACATAATAAACATTGACTTTGATAATCAAATAGGAACGGCGAATCCACACTGTAAATATAGTATATGCGTCATTTACAACCGTTTTGATGCAAAAAGATTGCTTTTTGTCGGTTTCAGTTTTCCTATCCCAGTACAAAAATGGCGACAGAATAATGAACGAGTTAAACTTATCAACGTTAAACGAGTTAACTCGTCAACCGCACTGAATGTTCAATGTACATATTATGTTAATTCTTATTTGTACATAAAAAACAAATTACAGAAAGAGATAACGACAAAGAAGAACTTATCCCTTTAGGGGATCTCTCTGCTAAACTTAAATGCTGGAATCGCTGGAATATATACCAAAAATCCACAATTAGGCACAACATCGCAACTCTATAGAGTGATTTAGAATATTCTAGGTCTCAGTCTACTGGCACATAAAAGAATATTGAACTTAAATGTCAGTGAAATATAGTTGCTTTTTATTTGTCATGATGACACAAATATACATAGATGACACAAATACAGATAATCCATAATACAGAAGAACTACCAACATCGGGTACTGTGGCATTATCTTCAATAACCCCTGCCTTTACCATCCACGAACATAATGACGATGCAAGTGATACTATTATACCGACGGAGTCTAAAACGGCCATTCTTAAAACAGCACATTTTTGCAAATAGAAACATAAATATTCATTAATATAGTTTATACTTTTACCTAAAGGTATTTTCAAGATTTAAACTCTGCTATGTAGTTATCATACTTATTTTATTTTTCAAACCCATGTACTTCTCATTTTAGCCCAGAATGGCTTACATCTATGCCATTCAATATTCTGAGTGGCAAAATACTGCTTTTGTAATCACTTAAAAATATAATTCACCACGAAGATTCTTTTAAAAAGTTCCATCATATATACGAGTGTCTCGTCCGAAGATACAATTACTACCATCGCCTTTCCTTTGAAAGAAACGGAAACAGAGAAAAATAAAAAAAAGAAGTTATTTTCAGTTTGAAAAATGATTTGAAAATCAGAAAAAAAATCGAACGCGAAACAGAAGCAATTTCAATAGCTAAAAATGATATAAGAAAAATTGGCAACAATTAGAGAAGCGGACCTGGAAGCACTAGGTTCTGAAGACTAATATGTTCACAATATTAATAGTTTAGCTTAAACTTGTTCATATTTCAATCTTATTATTAGGCTGAGAACACCGAATTGTGAGAATGGCAGGCAGAAACAATCCTACAGTGATAAATAACATCAAAAGATTGAAAATCGATAGGTCTTTAGAATACCAGACATGGAAATGGGGTAGAAAAGTAACATTTTAAAATTGCAAGGAATAGCATTTTTTAAATCATGGTGTTTTATAAAGAATTAAAGAAATGTGTTGTTACTAAAATTAAAAAAACGTGACATTATGACATCTTCGGTATGCTTTTAGGGAAAAATATTTGGTACTACATTGACGTAATAATTTTGGCAAACAACATCTGTAACAAGTGTTTATTTTCGTTTGGAGAAAAATGAGCAGAAAATACATAAACATGTTATATTTACATGTAGTACTGTAAAAATACACAAAGTTTTATTAACAGGACAACACGACATAAATTTGAAATAAACTTAAAAAAATCAATTTCTCCTGTAGCATTACAAGAAGTACAATTGCGTCAGTGTAGCACCAAATGAGCGATTTGTAATAACTATAATCTCAATTTTTTAGTTTACTTATTATCACTTATCACTATTTTCAAAAATTATTTCCTCGAAAACTTTTGTGTTCCTAAAATTGAAAATTAGTACGGAGTTTGCTAATCTGGCTAAGTCTGCCTCCACAAATAATATCAATCTATGTAAATCCGATGAAACTAGAAAATAACCTTGATCTAATGCAGCAAGCAGAACAATCTGTATATTACCCAACACTTCAACTATTTACATCAGAACTGTCGTGTCTAGGCCCATTTAATTGGTTTCTACGAGTAATTGCAAATGGTGCCTGGGGTCTAATGATGGTGTACGAAAGTGTACACGGGAACTAAGCTTTATTAAAGTTACACTCACCGAGTTTGTACTCGTGATACTGGTCTCAACTAATTTGTAGACAAACAGTGACTTTATTGACTTTTTAGTATTCGCTGTTCTGTAACGGGCGTTTTTTAAAAATTTTATTAAAATTTTTGTCAAGTCAATCCTGCGATTTACTGATAAAGTTGTTGGACACACTTTTACTATACACAGAGTAACTTGAGTTCTAGGAGATATATTGATGGATCTTAAATTCTTAAGATAGACAAACGAATGTTAATTGTTAAGCAGCAAATGTTCACTCTGAATTTTGAACAAAGACGAGCCTAAAAGGCTTCCTTTGATTGGAATTCAATGTTTATTTTAAAATAAATGAATTCTAAATGAGTTTCCGCACTTGACTACAGAATTTTTTAGCGCAACCTTATCTATAGAGAAGCAAATCCGACCTTGTGGATGGCCATGAAAAAAGCGGGTAGGATACAATAATACAGTTCTCAATTCGCGTTTTCGCAAATTGACAGATCATTCCATAAAATCGCTTAATTAATCTGCAGGGCTAAAAAGGCCGTATTGGCAAAATCATAATATTATGATTAATTGACAATTTATAATTTTATGAATTGTTTCAAACAAAAAAAAAACCAGTTCATCTATTTGACAGTGTTCTATGGAGGTCTCCGTAGAACAGTGAACTGTCAACTAATCATATTATTATTCTGCCAAAGCGGTCTTTTTAGGCCCCCTGTACGCTATACACGCGAAAGTCTTTTTTTTTTCAATTACGTCATGTTGGGAACAAACTCTTACTTATTCAGAAAACATTTACTTTTAATGTTACCAAGTAAAGGGACGGACAAGTCGTGCGCTTGCTGGTAAACCATAGATCTACCCGTTGCAGTGCCACACAAAGCTTTAAATCGCAACGATCTGAAGGAAACTTCCAATATGTCTGTAACCCTGAGACATAAAGTCGACAAATCCCATATGTTTGTAGTTTCCAGCACTCTTACCTACTCTTCAAAACCGGAACGCAATAATGCGTTACTACTTACATTACTGCTGGGCGACAGAAATAGTTCTCCTAAACTCTCTACACAACGAGCTTTTTTTATAATAAATATATATATATAATAATAATATAATAAATAATAATGTGCGCATTTAACCTCCATCTCACCTAAATAATGCCTATTCACTCTCCTCCCTTGAAAAGATCTAAGTTATAGCGTTCGGGGAACAAGTCCGCCGGTAGGGACTTCCACTCTCTAACCGCTCGCCCTATAAATGTGGAAGCGAAACGCTTCGTGCGAATCCTGGAAATATCCAGGATATAGGGGTGGAATCCCAGTCCACGTTTAGTACCCCGATGATGCAAAAGGGGAGGGCGGAATCGAACCACGCAATTCCATCGCACACTCTCCGTGATATATCCTGTAGAATACCGATAAGCAGGCAACTTTAAGGCGGTGTTCAGGGCTCTGCAGCTTCGCCTCTACTAATTTCGAGTCACCTATAAGCCTCTTGGCAGGCTTGTCTATTGATGAATCCAAGGTGGCCAGTTGGTATTTAGCAGAGCCATCCCGTAAGTGGCAGCAGAACTCCATACACGACCAAACTTGTGATTGGTACAGCTGCAACTGCCCCGATGTGAAGTAACGCCTCACCTTGAAAAGGATGCCAAGCTTCCTGGCTGCACTTTTGGCCATGTATTCAATGTATCTGCCGAAGTTCTGATTGGACGACAAGTCCATTCCAAGTAGCTGGAGACGGTCGGCTATCGGTATGGATACATCACGAAAAGTCGGAGTCAGGTGAAAGGGACTCCGCTTTGTGGAGAATAGAGACGCCTGCGTTTTTGTAGCATTAAATTTGACAAGATTGGCATCGCCCCAATCGTAGACTGCCTTAAGTGTCAAATTCAAAGGACTAACCATGGACTCTCGACAACACTGGATTTCTTCCATTGCTTGCTTCCTTGC